GACGCGAAGAACGAATCAGTAGCCACTGAAGAAAAGGAAATCACGCCAAGATGCAAAAGATGACAAACTTTTTCATACTTAACATTTCTATGCGTAAAATGATATTAGAAGTGGAATACTCTAAAATCATGATTTATAAAATATTAAAAATTTTCAGAAGAATAACTTATTTCATCCCGAGATGATCCTAAGACATTTATTTTGCTTTAAACATACAAAAAAATACATGTTTATTAATATTTAGCTCCTTTAAACAAAGAAATTAGTTTTTAACTTCATAGTTAACCGTAACTGAAAAAAAATTAACCGATAACCCTAAAAGAGCCACAATTTTTGTCGATAACCGTAAATGCCACCACCCCATTGAGAACCTCATAGATACCTGATTGAAAAAACGTTGTCGCTAAAAAGTAAACCATGAACGATGAGGTTTCAAGGATTTATGGGTATACGTTCATTAGCAAAGTAAATTCAAAGTTCTTTCAACAAAAGTTTACGTTGTCACGAGATACTCGTGCGGATGCAAACCCCTAGAGTACTTTAAGACATGCTGTTGTCTGTTTTTGTCTTCCAAGAACGCTTTTAGGTCCTATCTTATGATTTTCAAGCGTGCGTTAGCGATATGGCTACGCTCTTTAACTGTAGAAATCTCTTATGTGTCCAGCACTGGTGAAGTTATGAGCCGTAAATACTGGAAACCGTTTTACGTTTTTTGGAATGCATCGTCGCGAAAAGCTTCATAAATGTAAACATTTTTTAGAAGAACTTTAAATTTGCAATGCTAATAAAGTTGTACCCATAAAGTCATTAGGTCCCATCGTTCATGGTTTATACTTTTCAAGCGACAACGTTTTCTCAATCAGGTGTATACTTAGAGCCATTAAAATTAAGAATTTGTTCATGCTTAGCGTGCGTATATCGAGTTATGGATGAACGCGGGAAGTTTGGAGAGCACAAAAGATGCGTAAGAGTAGCTCGAGGCGCAGCCGAGAGCAACTCTAGCTTGCTCTCCAAGTGCTCCAAGTGCTCTCCAAACTTCCCAAGTGCATCCATAACTCGATATACGCACAGCTAAAAGCATGAGCAAATTCTTTTATAACATACCTGACAAAAATGCGTGCTTTTTGATTAACTGCAAAATTCTCGTAACGCGCGACACAACAAACGCTTCTATTGGCTGATTACAAACACGCCACAATCGTCTAGTTTGAATTAAAATTCTTTCTGTAAAACTGAGAAGGAAAATTTGCTTATTTATTCGTTAACGATCAATGGAAACTGAGCAAAAACAAAGATAAAAGAGTCTTAAAAGTCCGCCTAAAATTAAAATACTCACATGTTCGTAAGAAGTCGTGGGGTATGGACAGTATGGTTTGGATTTGCTGAAAAGATGTTTATGTTTTTGCTCGGCGAAATCCAGAAAACTTGTTTTTTAGCGAAGACGACTGTCATCCTACTTTAAACTTATATTCATTTACGAACAGTGGCTGGTCAATTTATTACGGCTTCTTGAGAAGACATTTTTTAGAGTAATAATTAAAAATTTATGTCATGTGTAATTTGTCTTTTTATTGCACGAGAAATTTTCCTGCTTCAGTCGAATTGTTCGGCGATAACAAAAGTGCATAATTTTTCGCTGTTGGGCTTAACTCGTTTTTTACAGGACAAGCAAAAGTTAAAAACTGAGGACACTTTATACAAATTGGATATTTTCCGTCACAGACCAATTTGTGGTCTTTTTCCACTTAAATGCCAGACTATATTGGTGAAACATCTTCACCGCTTTTGCTGTTGGTTTGAGTGGCTAGAATGAAGCTAAATTTTAAAAAAAATTAAAACGTTTTTCATCATTAATTGCCGTCGATTTTTGGGTACTGTCTTAGGAAAAGAGACGAAAAACACAGCTGAACATGCCATCATGAAAAAAATCTCTATTTACGCACGGGCGTGCGTAAATTTAACAAATAGATTCCATGTTGCCGTGCTTCTGTTCAGTAATAGATCACAGATGACGTCAAAATGTCGTAAAAACAAAGAAGTGGCACACGAGCCGCAGGCGAGTGTGTCACTGTTGTTTTTACCACATTTTGACGTCCTCTGTGATCTATTACTGAACAGACCCACGGCAACATAGAATCTATTTGTTTTATACAATGATCAGAAAAGAAAAAGACCGATACACATACCTGCCTCGAACCGCTTGACCTTTTGAGGATTTGTGCTAGTTTAGGCATTTTTTAAGTCCCAAACCCAACTTTTCATCTTAGCTTCTTCTTTATCTTACTTGTGTACAGTTTCTTCGAAAAGTTTTTCACCTTCTTTTCTTGCTCAAAGAAGAATAATAGCGAAAACATTTTGCAAAACAGCGAGTCTCTCGTAGCGAAGACACACGATGGTAACTGTTGTGAAGATTTCTTGTAGTTTAGGCATTGTCAAGTAGTCAATAGCTTTTTTGGTCTCCGTTTCTCCATTTTTCTTCTTTGTAAATAGCTCCTGCTAAACTTTTTCCGAAGCTTTCACTTGCCTCAATCCGAAATAATCTCACAAACATTTTCAAAACCGCGTGCCATGTTGAACAAAACAAAGAAAACAAGTTTCCCGTGACGTCATCCATGTATCTGTACTCTAATAGATCATGGGTAACGACCAATCACAGCGCGCGTAGCATTCACATCATTGTATAATAAGAATTTGTTCATAGCGGCTCAATTGGACTTAATATATACGGCAAGCACGCGCGCTATGTTATAAACACTTATTGTGATAGAGCTGGAAATTTTTCCCAAAAGCGCGCGCTCTCATTGGCTTCTTTGAGGTCACATGACATCTAACAATGAACCTTTTTCCCTCCAAAATCTCCGAACGGGCAACATTGCAAAATCTATGATGTCAGAGGGTAACAGTGCACTATTACCCGCGAATGTTGACCGACGACCGCCGTTACAGCGAGGTTTAATGAGTTTCCAGCTTCAAAATTTCCAGATATATAACAAATCGCCGAAAGACTGGTCCCTCGGGAAACAGTTAATTTTGTTTCTCTAAAATCTCAATGTTTAAAAATTAACTGTTCCCTCGGGACTAGTCATTAAATGTTTACTATTTTATTATCATCTTAATATCAACGTAGGAGGACACTCTATGAAATCTGATCAAAAGCCTTTATTGCAATAGGCCACTTCCGAGTTCTAAAAACCCTCACTTTCAAAAAGAGGCCAAGTGCACACCCTTTCTTGTGAAAATGAGTTTTATTTGCAGGACCATTTAACCACGTTTCGATACAGAGGCCCGGGGGAACTCGAAAATGGCCTATTCAGCATGTCCCATAGGAATCGGAGATAACAAAAAGCTACAAAACTGGATCGTTCGATTTGTACGTCAAGAGCGTATTCTAAGCCTCATTTTGATTTAACCTCTATATGTAATAGTAACAGAACTTCGTATCGTCCAATTCGGTCTGTAATCATACGAGTGATTAACAAAATCGGACGACCGCGTAGCGGGAGTCCGATTTGCTTAATCACGAGTATGGTTACAGACCGAATTGGACGACACGAAATTCTGTTACCAATTAATCATAACTTTAACAAAATTTGTGATATAATAGGCTATTTTTTGCACCAAAACACAAGAAATTCGACATTTTGTTTTGCTAGCATTGAAAAAAAGCCATTTAAGCGCGCGCTTGATGGCGCGTACTGTCCAATTACTTAGGCATGACGCGTACTGTCCGATTAAACTGTCCAATTAAGGCTGAAATCAGGGCAGTTGACAGCCAATCCGATTTGACAATTTTGTTATAGATAACAATTATTCACCGAAGTGGAGGTGGTTAGTCCTGGATATTTACCGAACTGCGAAGCAGTGAGGTAAATATCCACGACTAGCCACCGACACTGAGGTGAATAATTGTTTTAGTATATACTAAAACAGTGAGATAATTGAGCACAAAAATGACGATTTTTAACTCAAATACTGTTGCCAACGATTACAATTTTGGCGCGTAATGACCGGGCGGCCGCGGCCGTCGCTTTTTCTTGCCGCGGACAATTAAAACATTTGAAGGCATTTGTTTAGCTCTTGCGGGGAAATTTCTTCAAAAGGAATTGTGAATTCTTTTTGTATTTAAAATCATTCTATAAAACAAGATTATTAAATTTAGTTTTAAGCTTATTTATGAACAACTCAACTAAATAAAGTAAGCAAGATTTAAACTTAATTTGCATTTGTAAACAAAAAACTTTTTCACCGGTTTTATCGATAAATTCGTGTCAAAAACACAAAGCTTTACCTGTTAAAACTTCCAATCCGAACTTCGTCACCTTCTTCGTGTATTTCAGAAACAGTTTGCTTGATATAGTTGCGAAATTTCTTTGTTTGTTTACGGCAGCAAACCGGGAAGACATTTTGCTCGCAACTTACGGGAGTTTGGCGTCGCTCGCTCGGAGGAACCGGAGGTGAATCAGTGAATAGTGCAGGATATTCACTGATTGAGTAGCCAATCAGAGCGCGCGAAAAACATTATCCACTGTTTTAGTATATACTAATTATGATTAAAACTATTAACCGGGTATAATTAAAATCACGCCGTCAAAACCATTTGCTTTCCTAATTGCAAACAAAAATAAATTCAACACAGCAATATTCTTTATCACCAACAATTTATTGAAAGTTACACAGAGCTTCCGGAACCCATCCGAATGAATCCCTTTATCAGTGACGTTTGCTGTTATTTGCAGTCTCTTTATAATGAGGCTGCAAATTTGTTCTATATAAAATTGGATGAAGGTGGTGGCCCTTTCCTTCTTGTTGGTCGCCGAGTAAGCGTGTTTATGCCCTCGTGGATCGTGCGTGGAAGCAGGTGGTTTTCCTGGCCAATATGTTTTACACTGGCCCAGTGGACGAAGTGATCTGCATCTTTAGCGTGTTCGGATACACAGGAACCCATAACCCTCCTGAATACTGTCGATTGAATTTGCAGGCTTTCTTTCTCCGGTGTTCATTTAGCCGGCTAGTGCCCAGATTTCTTGCCGTTTAACCAATATACTCTGCATCACAATCCTTACATCTGTACCGGAAATCAGTGCAGTGCAAACCTGCGATGTCAAGTCTGCTGCGTCCAGGAGGGTTATGGATTCCTGTGAGATTAATTGAGTAAGGCTGACCATACAGCTAGGAGAATATATGTGTTTTCCAATTTTTCGTCAGTTACGATCTAACTCCTTCACGGAATAACTCGAGGGAACTGAACAAAGTTTTAGTACCCCATACTCTTATGGTGAGTTTACGGAATAACCGAGGGGGAACTGAACAATACTCTTATGGTTTCCTTTCGTATACCCCCCATTTAAAAGGCCCTTTTAAATACCTAAATGGTAGATTTCCTTGCCCTTTTATATACTTCAACTCGTGAAGTGAAAACCCTACCCTTATATATACCTAAAGCTCGAAAAAGGTATCCCTTCGCCCGGAACCCATCGTATAGGACGTTATAGGGAATATCCCCAGGAGGGAACAACTGACAAAAACAAACTTCATTATATTTCAAATAACCAAAAAAATACAAAAGAATATGTACCAAATAAAATAGAAGCAGAAGATCTGTATGGGCGTTTACAATGGCGAAGCTAAGGCGAACCTTTTTAAACACCCATACAGATCGGACGCAAAGTCAAGTTTTTAATGGTACTTTTGAAACTAATTAGTTGAAAAGCAGTTTGTATCAAACTTTTATTCTTACTAGTGTTTAATAATTCATCAACCTAGTTGAATTTTATTAGGCTTTGTACAGGTGCACTTTATGACTCAAATACTAGCAATTCATTGGTAATAACTATGAAGAATGATTAGATTTAGATTAAGATTTTTTTATTTTTTATTTTTCTGCACTATTACAAGAGCAGAGGCACCCAATGGATCTGCTCCACAAAATGTCTGTCCGTAAGGCAAATTTTTGCTGGCTGGGAGATTTAGAAAAAATGATATGCCCTTGGAAGGAAAGTGTTCCTGGAAAAATAGACAATTCAGGGTGCCTGCTTGGATCTCTAGAATAGCTGGTATGTGCTATTTGCTATTTGTCTTAAACCTCTTTCCGTCCCCACTCCCCCCCCCCCCCAAAAAAACTGAAGGGTTGAATTTTACCCTATGACCACACCCAAACTGGCTACTAATGTCATACGTCTGCTGGGAAATTCCCCAGTAAGTCAGGTTGCAGGTTCTGGGTGCACCTTGCTGGCCGGGAACTGTTCCACCAGTGTTGCTGGGAGTGAGGAACAGATAGATTTTTTCCCAGCGATCTACCAAAATGCCTAAAATGGCTTCAAAAAGTTTTATTCATGCTCTGTTGTTGTTTTTAGTTTTTTTTCTAAAAAATTTCTGTTGGGTGCACCTGCATGAGGTTACTTCAAAAATAGCAATGCATTACAAAGCAAGAAAAACATAGAACAACAAATCACATAAATGATGAAGGATGAAGAGTGTGCGCAGCGACCAAACGAGCTTAGGCTTTCGAGCTGGTCACTGTCACCTGTAACTAACTGGCGTAGACATTTACATAAAACTACTAGCAACGTACAGCAGAAAAAGGAAAGCTCATAAAGTCTTATTTACGATTTTATGTAAAAACAATAGAAATGATTATTGGTAGTGTGGACAGAGAAATCAAATTACTTATGAGGTATTTCAAAGGTAAAGTTTGTATTGCTTATAGAGATTATTATAAGAGAGGTTTTTAAATTCAGAGGGCATGTTTTCTCGGATTTTAGATCCAGCAAAAGCAAAATTGGCAGCTCCATAATTATTGTTTATCCTGGGCCGACACATGCAGAAAATGATTATTATTTCTAAAAAAGAATAATTGATTTCATACACAAAAAGCAATAAAATCGCAAAATCAATTCAAACAGACTAGAGTGGGACAAATGTAAAACAAAATATTGTAATTCCATGTCAGTCCGAATTCAGAACTACTCCTTTAAACGGAGGAAAGCTGTAATGGCGCATGTCAAGAACAGCAAGCTGCTGACCATCGGTACTTTGGCTCCATTGCACAGGTCACTATGGCAGCACTTGATTTCACATTCGGTAACTTTTACATTCAAAAATGGTACGACAGTCTTACAACCATCTGCGTTGCAAACCGACTTGTCGATACAACCTTTCAAAAAAGACTTTCCGGTTTTGCCTTTCACCTCTACTGTCACATGGACTTTATAACAGCCGTCCAGGCCGGGAGAACAATCCGTATTGTTGTCAGGAACACAATCATCCCAACTCTGAGGTGAATAACATTGGTAGCACTTGATGCTTCGTCCTACAAAACAGAGTAGAAAATTTTTGTTACATTTGAGCTTCATTAACTAAATTTCTCATGAATATGAGTTAAACAGGAGCCCATTAAATGATGGGCTCCTGCGCTAGATCGTCTTCTTTGACGTCAGCGAAGTGATTCCTCATTCATTATGTTAAACTCAACTTCGAACAAAAGCACGTAAAAGACAGTTTGTGTCCTACACAGACAAGTTGTCCATGGACCAAGGTCTGGAACGGGATCCCGGGATTCCGCGGGATTTGACCAAAAGACAGTGCGGGATTCGACCAAAATACAATGCGGGATTCGAGCAATAATAGGATACGGGATTTGACTGTTACCGAGGAAGCGTGATTCGCCAAAATTTTGGCACGAATGTGGTATATTGGGAAAGAAAACGACATTCGGGATAGCGATGACATAACTTCGGGATGCGAGATTTTCATAAACAAGGAAGCGAGAATGCGGGATCAGGAATCCCCCTTTCCAGACTTCAGAGGACTATTTATTCTGCCGGGCTCTTGGCAAGTGAAAATTAAGAATTTGTTCATGCTTAGCGTGCGTATATCGAGTTATGGATGCACACGAGAAGTTTGGAGAGCACGAAAGATGCGTCAGAGTTGCCTCGTGCAACTCTAGCTTCTTGAATGCTCTCCAAACTTCCCGCGTGCATCCATAACTCGATATACGCACAGCTAAAAGCATGAGCAAATTCTTTTATAACATAGCTGACAAAAATGCTCGCTTTTTGATTTACTGCAAAATTCTCGTAACGCTCGACTCAATAACAAACGGTTCTATTGGCTGATTACGAACACGTCACAATCGTCTAGTTTGAATGAAAATATTCTTTCTGTAAAACTGAGAAAGAAAGTTTGCTTCTTTATTCGTTAACGATCAACGGAAAATAAGCAGAAACAAAAGTAAAAGAGTCTTGAAGTTCACCTAAAGTTGAAATACTAACATGTTCGTAAGAAGTCGTGGAGTATGGTTTGGATTTGCTGAAAAGATGTTTACGTTTTGTTCGGCGAAATCCAGAAAACATGTTTTTAGCGAAGACGACTGTCATCCTTCTTTAAACTTATATTCATTTACGAACATTGACATTGGCTGGCCATGGTCATTACGACTTCTTGAGAAGACCTGGCAGCAGTTGTTTTTGTGAATAATAAATCTATGTCTTCTTGTGTAATTTGTGTTGTTATTGCGAGAGAAATTTTCCTACTTCAGTCGGATTGTCCGGAGATAACAAAAGTGCATAACAAATTTAAAAACAACAATAAAAACGGAAATTTACCTTTAAATGTTGTTGATGACCAGTTGGTGTCTGTTTTGTTCCCAGTGAATGCCTTTCAGCCAAAATTTGCTGCAGCTGGTCTTCCGACAAGTTTGCGAAACGCGCAACTTGCGAGTTTTTTCTAATTCGACTTTATTTTTGCTGCTTGTTGGATCAGGACCTAAAAGGTCAATGCCGATACAAAAATTGGGCAGTTCTTCGCTGGTTTCTTCCATATTTTACAGAGAAGGAAAACTGCACTGCAGCTCAAAAGACGACAACTTTGCAACCAGGTAAAAAAAAATGCTCACGTATTTATTTATTTATTTATGCACGGGCGTGCGTAAATAAAGATTTTGTTCATAGCGGCTCAATAGGACTTATCTAGGGCAAGCACGCGTGCTATGTTATAATGTAGAATGTAACAAAATATGCCACGTTGTTTACCCTTTACGCAAGGTTTTGTGCGATTTTGTGACAATCCAAAAGCAAAGTAGAGTACCAAGATTAATCGCAAGAAATCATTCAGTGGTGTTCAATATAGATTGGAAATTATAAAAAATCGACTATTGTATTACAATTTCCTGAAGAATGAAAAAATTGCTGCTTAAAATGCGCGCAGTCATGCTCTTATCAGTTCAAGGAATTAATTAATCCGTGCTACCCGGAGATGGAACTGAAAAACTCAGTCCCAAGAACATTTTCGCGCGTCTCAAATGATGATCATGTTGAAATAAAAAGTATAAGGTGAGTTGCTTTTTAGATTTTTCGACTTTTTACCTTTGCATACGTCCATCGGAGAAGTTATTTAAACCGGCATCCGCTCTCTTAATGTCTCAGTTTCGGGTTATGAATTAGGGTTTATTTTGCGAGGCAGAAAGAACAGAAAACCTTTCAGAGTAATAATGAAACCAACAGGATTTTTCAAGCTGATAATTGCCACAGAAGCAGCCTTTGAAAGCTTGCTAAATCTAATTAAAATACGCATGCATAACAGCGTTTATGCTCGCAGTAGCGGTTGACCCCGGGCCGTTTTTGACCAAGAGTCGCACAAGGAAAAATAACTGACAGAGTAATACACTGAACATGACTGACTTACCTACTGAGATGCAAAGAGACAAAACCAATACCACTGAGGAGAGGAAAGCTTTCATTTTGTAAGAAGTTGCTGGATATGAGAAGCGCAAATACGCTCTAAACCTTTAGAGACACACCTTTGCAGGCTGTTCTGAGTACAAGACTCAAAAGGCTTGGTAACCTGCGTGCATGCTTAAGGTAATTTAACGCCGGCACACAAAACATGGATTGGCTGATTGATTAATTGAATGATTGATTGATTGATTGATTGATTGATTGATTGACTCCGTTTTGATCTTTATTTGTCCCACAATTTTGTTACATTATTTTATTGCGAGTCTTCCCAAACCGTATTTACGAAAACGATCGAGAGCTCCGCATGGTGGCGCACTGGTTTGCTGAAGAGATGACCGGAGCAAGAATCTCAACTGTTTGGGATAAATGGCCACAAGCGTGACGTTTTTAATTGAAACTAATGATAAAATTAACTAATTAACATCTGTTCAGGAAAGCTGGGGACAAAAATCGGCCACAAATTAGCAAATACTTACGACAAACTAAAGACGATAAAACTATAAGAAGATGTAGACGGTGGTAGGTCGGAGACTGGGGAGGTGGTGGGAAAAATTTTCAACTAAGCGTTAAAGGGATGTCAGTACAGGCTGATGGTAATAGTTGGAAGGGCCGCGCAAAACATATAACAAGTCTTTTATACAGCAATAAACACGTTCGATCTCCTGATTGGCCAGGGAACCACCGCCTGCATACTGCTGATAAGAAACGACATAAAATGACATTATGATTCATTAAAATGACATTATGATTCCATCTTCTCATCAGAATGTTTGTTTTTGCTTGGCACATGTAAAATGGAAAAATAACAACTGAACCTCACAAGTACGAACCTAACCACCTCTCTTCAAAGACTATTCTTATTTTTTATCCCGGCGGACAGTCCGTGCATTAAGATCCACTCCTGTTTTTAATTGATTGATTGATTTATCGATCGATCGATTAATTTATTTACTGACAATTTTCTACAGGGGTACCATTAACTACATTTAAATACGATTATCCTGCGAACAGGCTCGCAAGTAGAGCGGGAAAAAAGGAAAATCGGCGAACGAAGCGAGCCTTACGTGGCGTGAGGGAGTAACCTGTAAAGTTTGTTTTGATGCCGCCCATCCACGATATCAGTTTCTGGTATCGTTATCCGATTGGTCAGATTGCTGACTGTTGACCAATGAGCGTTGAATAATTCCCACCTGCGCGCGAATGTTATTGAAGCCAATTCATTCACGCGTAAAACAACATCATAATTTGACTGGTCTAGTCACCTCATCCACATATTATTGACATATGTGTTACAGGATATTGCAAGTGGGCGGATAAGCTGCATCAACAACAACAACAACAACGAGCTTTATTTGCATGACCATACAAGTTCATACAGTATTGCAAAAGCTTTTTTAAGAATCAAAATTACATCATAGGCCAATTAGTAATTTGTCACGAACATCAAAGCAAGCTGAAATATATTTTATGAATTGTGGTATTGATAAAGTAATTAGAGGAGTTTATCTGCTCATTCATCAAAACGTTTACAGGTAACTGGGCAATATTTGGGAATAAGAGTGTTGATATTATTGTAAAAATTATTCCTAATCATAGAGTATGTAGGACAGCGAAAAAGAAAGGGAAATTCGTCTTCTATTAGATTGGATCCACAAAAAGGGCAATGCCTATTATCCTTTGTAGTTTGATTGTATGACTATCTACCCAATTCTATCATTAGTTTGTGATTGCTTATCCGTAGTTTTACTAAAGCCCTTGTCCCAGCAGTTCCTCTTGTTAAATCTTAGTAATTAGAGGTGGTATGATCGTTTTAAAATTCAAGTTTTGAGAATGTTGAAAGGTGTTTTGCCAATATTAGATATATTCCTGTTTCTTTGAACTTACATAGCGTTTTACCATAGCTCTATCTAATAAATCAGGATTAAAGTCAGATGCATGCAGATGGTGATTATTATTTCTAAAAAAAGAATAATTGATTTCATTCACAAAAAGCAATAAAATCACAAAATCAATTCAAAAAGACTAAAGTGGGGCAAATGTAAAACAAAATATTGTAATTCCATGTCAGTCTGAATTCAGAACTACTCCTTTAAACGGAGGAAAGCTGCAATGGCGCATGTCAAGAACAGCAAGCTGCTGACCATCGGTACTTTGGCTCCATTGCACAGGTCACTATGGCAGCACTTGATTTCACATTCGGTTACTTTTACATTCAAAAATGGTACGACAGTCTTGCAACCATCTGCGTTGCAAACCGATTTGTCGATACAACCTTTCAAAAAAGACTTTCCGGTTTGCCCTTCACCTCTACTGTCACATGGACTTTATAACAGCCGTCCAGGCCGGGAGAACAATCCGTATTGTTGTCAGGAACACAGTCATCCCAACTCTGAGATGAATAACATTGGTAGCACTTGATGCTGCGTCCTACAAAACAGAGTAGAAAATTTTTGTTACATTTGAGCTTCATTAACTAAATTTCTCATGAATATGAAAACGACGTTAGACAGGAGCCCATTAAATGATGGGCTCCTGCGCTAGATCGTCTTCTTTGACTTCAGCGAAGTGATTCCTCATTCATTATGTTAAACTCAACTTCGAACAAAGTCACGTAAAAGACAGGTTGGTTCCTACACAGACAAGATGTCCAGGGACCAAGGCATGGAACGGGATCCCGGGATCCCGCGGGATTTGACCAAAATACAATGAGGGATTCGAGCAATAATAGGGTACGGGATTGGACTGCTACCGAGGAAGCGTGATTCGCCAAAATTTTGACACGAATGTGGTATATTGGGAAAGAAAACGATATTCGGGATAGCGATGACATAAACCAGTTCTGGATGCGAGATTCTCATCAAAAAAAAGAAGCGGGAATGCGGGATCAGGAATCCCCCTTTCCCGACTTCAAAGGATTATTCATTCTGCCGGGCTCTTGGCAAGCGAAAATGTAAAATGTAACACAATATGCCACGTTTTTTACCCTCTACGCAAGGTTCTGTGCGATTGTGTGACAAGCCAAAAACAGAGTACCAAGTTTAATCGCAAGAAATCATTCAATGGTCTTCAATTAAGAAATGGTAAACGTGCAGCGTGTAACCATGGAGTTATGGATGCACGCGGGAGGTTGCTAAGCACGAAAGAAGCGTAAGAGTGATCACCTCGTGCGACTCTAGCTTCTTGAGTGCTTAGCAAACCTCCCAAGTGCATCCATAACTCCATGGTTGCACAGCTGCAACGTTTACCATTTCTTTTATAACATAATCAAAAGAGAAAAACATTATTTTCCATTTGCCTTCGGTTGAGTCATTGGTCCGAGTTCATGTATGCTGACATCTGCCCGCCCCTTTGAGTTTTTCTTTCGCTGAATCAACCGTTCTCCCTCTTCAAGTAAATTGCAAAACGTTTTTCGTTGTTATTCTGAATGGCATCTGTCTACTTGCTCTTAATATTAGGGTAAAAACTTTGAGGGAAAACTATAGCTGCAGCTATAAACACCAACTAAAAAGACTCTAAAAAATAAGCTAAAACTAAATAAATAAAATAATTATCAAGCTTATTTTTGTGACAATTTTCGAAATAAACGTAAAGTAGAAATGAGAAAATTTGACTGTAATTCCTTTAGAATAACAGGTAACACTAATTTTAAAAAGAAATTGACTAGCTTTGTATTGAAATCTGTCTGGGGAAATCCAGCTATGAAAGTCAAAGTTACAACTGAAATTCGCCAACACACAGCCTGCGCTGAAGCTGTTGTTTTTCGACCGTTCTCTGAACGACTGTTATGAATGAACACTGAGGAACAAAATAATACACACAGAAGTTATTTTTAAAAAAATTTATTTGAAAACGCAGATGTTTCTGTACTCAAATGAAATTCGCTTATTCCAGCGTAATGTGCCCGTTTAAACTCAATTAAAATTTTTAAGCGATATGATGAAAACTTCACAACAAAGCTGTCTCGAATTTGAGCGTGTTTCCTAAAATATTTGCTTGAATTTAGCATCAGCTTGACCAAAAAGTCAATAACACAATGCTAATTGATAAATTTACATTTCAAACAGACTTTCTCTTCTATAAAAAACTCACAAAATGTACCTTAAATCTTCGCTCGCTCGATTTTCCTTCAGCCGATTCTAGCCGAGAGGAAAACAGTGATTAATTCATCCAGGGCAAATTTGTAGCTTGATCTTTTGTCTTTTTTCCTTCAAAACGACAGCTTAGTATTTTCTTCAACTTTCACTTTTCATCTCATCGGTGTATTTTACCGTCAGGGGAGGAGATTTGTTGAATCTGCCTAAATTTTACTGCGCTAGCTCAGTTTCTTGGCGTGCACCCACGGGCAAATGGTAGTTGCTAACTGACCAAACAGAGCGCGCGATTTACTTTTGTTATGTTATAAAGTGAGTTGCTTTTTAGAATTTTCGAGCTTTCACTATTGTATACGTCTATCGGATAACTTATTTAAACGGGCATCCGCTCTCTTAATGTCTCAGTTTCGGGTTATGAATTAGAAAACCTTTCAGAGTAATAATGAAACCAACAGGATTTTTCAAGCTGATAATTGCCACACAAGCAGCCTTTAAAAGCTTGCTAAATCTAATTAAAATACGCATGCATAACAGCGTTTATGCTCGCAGTAGCGGTTGACCCCGGGCCGTTTTTGACCAAGAGTCGCACAAGGAAAAATAACTGACAGAGTAATAGATTGAACATGACTGACTTACCTACTGAGATGCAAAGAGACAAAACCAATACCACTGAGGAGAGGAAAGCTTTCATTTTGTAAGAAGTTGCTGGATATGAGAAGCGCAAATACGCTCTAAACCTTTAGAGACACACCTTTGCAGGCTGTTCTGAGTACAAGACTCAAGAGGCTTAGTAACCTGCGTGCATGCTTAAGGTAATTTAACGCCGACACCCAAAACATGGATTGATTGATTGATTGATTGATTGATTGATTGATTGATTGATTGACTCTCTTTTGATCTTTATTTGTCCC